GCTCAGTCTCCTCTCCTCCCGGCCGTGAGAAGATGGGCTTCTCCACACCTTCTGAGGGGAGGGGTGTCTTGCTTTAGTCAATGAGATGTGACCACAAGTGCCAGGGAACCACTCAGAGTCCATGTCCCATTCACCTGCTCCTGCCCACTGCGTTGGTGCGGCACTTGTCACAGTGGAGCCTTCGCTGCTCTGGCCCCTGGAGTGACCGTGTGGAACAGCGTCCCTCGCTGGACCAGCCTTGGACTTACAGACAAAGGAAACGTTTGCTCTGGTAAACTGAGATTTGGGTTGAGGAGGGAGAAGGAGAGAGTTTGTAGCCATAACATACTCCAGCCTCAACTTAACAACTCGCCCTAACTCCTTTAGCTTGCTGGTGCCAGACGTGTCTCACATCCCAGCCTCTAACCCCACAAGTCGTGTTTTTCATTTAGTCTCTCTCTCTTGGTGTTACATGACCTGCAGAAACCTAATCTTAGTTCTTTTGCTTGCCTTTAATTTTACGGTTATAATCAAAGTGCTTAAGAAGTGCAATCTGACGTCTGCGGTTAGTCCAAAATGCATAGAATGTAGAAGAAAGTTTCTATCCTTCTCTGTCCATGTGTTTGGTCTGAAGCTGAATGTCACGAGTTCCTGTCACTGGAGATATTCAAGCAGGAGTTTCGGCAGCCGCTGGGTGTGTGTTACAGCAGTGGTCTAACCAGCAGAAACCTGAGAGCCACTTCAGTCCTGAGAGTTTGTTCAACGTGCATCAGCAATTCCCAGGCATACCACTTACCAGCTTCTTGGGTATCACTTAACTTCTCTGGGCCTCAGTTTCCTCCTATTCAAAGAACAGCTTTATAATAACTTATAAAGCTGTTAGAGAGATTAAATGAGGTTGAAGAACAATAGCGGTATCCTGATTCCAACTCTCCCCATCACATTCCCAAAATAACCACCAGAGCAACAAGGGGAGCGGATAGAACTGCACAGGACCCATGACTTAAGCATTGTTAGGAGACAGAAAACACTGCAACCTTCAAGTCTCTTATGAGGAAAGAAAGAAAAAATTCTAACAAAGCTTCCAATACCTGCAAACCACCCCAGCAAAGCTGTGAGTATGGGGCGTCGGGGCCAGGGGGCCAATCGAGGAAGTGAAACACAAAAATGTCCCACACAGGTGAGGATTTGATAGTTCAAGCCCTGGCTACAGGGAAGGAGCTTAAAAGTGTGCAGGGCCTGACGGGGCAGCCTCAGAGAGGCACTGCTCCTGGGAGAACATTAGAGAGAGAGAGAAGTTTCCACTCCTTGGACATGAGGTGATGCAAGGAAAGAAAGAAAGCAAAGGAGAAAATTAAAGATCTTGCTGAATAGGATTGGTTGATTGTATCAATGTCAATATTATGATTGTGACAATGGCACCATAGGTTTGCAAGGTGCTACCATTGAGAGAAACTGCAGAAAGAGTATTATTTCTTACAACTTCATGTGAACTTTCAATTATCTCAAAATAAAATGTTTTGTTAAAAAAGCTGATTTCAGGAAAAAAATCCCACTTACTGTTGCATCAAAAAGAATAAAATATCTAGGAATAAAAGTTTAATCAATGAGGTGAAAGACCTATACACCGAAAACTGTAAGACATTGATGGAAGACATTAAAGAAGAAGCAAATAAATGGAAAGATATTCCTTGCTTACGGATTGGAAGAATTAATATTGTTAAAATGTTCATACTACCCAAAGCAATCTATAGATTCAATGCAATCCCTACCAAAATTTCAATGGCATTCTTCACAGAGCTAGAACGAACAATCCTAAAATGTGTATGAAACCGCAAAAGCCTCTGAATAGCTAAAGCAATCTTGAGAAAGAAGATCAAAGCTGGAGGCACCACAGTCCCTGACTGCAAACTGTGTAATCAAAACAGTTATGGTACTGGAACAAAAACAGACACACAGATCAATGGAACAGGATAGAGCCCATAAATAAACTCACATGTACATGGTGAATTATGTTTATGACAAAGGAGCCAGGAATATACAATAGGAAAAGGAGAGCCTCTTCAATAAATGGTGTTGGGAAACTTGACAGCCACATGCAAAAGAATGAACCTGGACCATTATCTTACACTACAAAAAAAAAACTAACTCAAAATGGATTAAAGACTTAAATATATGATCTGAAACCATAAACCTTCTAGGGAAAAACATAAGGAGTAAGGTCTCTGACGTCAGTCTTGGTGATGACTTTTTGGATTTGACACTAAAAGCAAAGGTAACAAAAACAAAAATGAGCAAGTGGAACTACACCAAACTACAAAGCTTCTGCACAGCAAAGGAAACCATCAAGAAAACAAAAAGGCTACCTAAAAATTGGGAGAAGATATTTGCAAATTATACATCTGATAAGGGGTTAATATCCAAAATATGTAAAGAACTCATACAACTCAACAACAAAAACCAAACAACCTGATTACAAAACGGTCAGAGGATCTAAAAAGACATTTTTCCAAAGAAGATATAGAGATGGCCAACAGGCACATGGAAAGATGTTCAACATCACTAATTATTAGGGAAATGCAAATCAAAACCACCATGAGATATCACCTCACACCCATCAGAATGGCTATTATCAAAAAGACAAGAAATAACAGTGTTGGAGAGGATGTGGAGAAAGGGGAACCCTTGTTACTGGTGGAAATGTAAACTGGTGCAGCCACTATGGAAAACAGTATGGATGTTCCTCAAAAAATTAAAAATAGAACTATCCTATGATCCAGCTACTCCACTTCTGGGTATTTATCCAAAGGAAACAAAAACACTAATTCAAAAAGATACATGCACCCCTGTGTTCACTGCAGCATTATTTATATTAGCCAAGACGTGGAAACAACCTAAGTGTGCAATGACAGAAGAATGAATAAAGAAGATGTGTGTGGGGGGGGGGGGGTGTATACACACACAATGAAGTACTACTCGGCCATAAAAGAATAAAGTCTTGCCAAAAAATAAAATCTTTCCATTTGTAACAACATGAGTGGATCTTGAGGGTATTATGCTAAGCAAAATAAGTCAGATGGAAAAAGACAAATACTGTATGATTTCACTCGTATGTGGAAGATAAACAAACATATTGGTGGTTACCAGAGAGGCGGAGGGTGGCAGGAGGATGAGAGGAGTTAAGGGGCATAGATGTACAGTGATGGTGGAAACTAGACTTTTGTTGGTGAACATGGTGTGGTGTATACAGAAGTCAAAATACAATGATGTACACCTGAAATTTATATAATTTTATAAACCATTGTGACCTCAATTAAAAAATTTAAAAAGTAAAAAACATGGGCTGAGGATCTGAATAGACATTTTTCCAAAGAAGACATACAAATGGCCAACAGGCCCAAGAAAAGGTGCTCACATCATTAATCATCCCAACTCAAATGCAAATCAAAACCACACGGAGATATCACCTCACACCAGGTAGAATGGCTATTATCAGAAAGACAAGAAATAGCAAGTGTTGGTGAGGATATGGAGAAAAGGTAAGCCTTATGCACAGTTGCTGGGAATGTAAATTGGTGCAGCCACAATGGAAAACAGTATGGAGGTTCCTCAAAAAATTAAAGATAGAACTGCCATGTGATCCAGCTATCCCACTTCTGGGAATGTATCCAAAGGAAATGAAGACAGGATCTTGAAGGGATATCTCCACTCCCATGTTTATTGCAGCATCATTCACAACAGCCAAGATATGGAGACAACCTAAGTGTCCACTGACAGATGAATGGATAAAGAGATGTGGTGTATGTGTATATACAATGGAATATTATTCAGGCATAGAAAAGAAGGAAATCTTACCATTTACAACAACGTGGATGGACTTTGAGGGCAATATGCTAAGTGAAATAACTCAGAGAAAGATAAATATTGCATGATCTCACGTATATGTGGAACCTAGAAAAATAATGAGCTCATAGATAACCACAAACAGATTGGTGGTTGCCAGAGGTGGGGGCTGGGGGCTGGGCGAAATGGGCAAAGGAGGTCAAAAGGTAGAAACTTCCAGTTGTAAAATAAATGTCATGGGGATGTAACGTACAGCATGGTTACTCAAGTTAATAATATTGTATTTTACATTTGAAAGTTGCTAAGACAGTAGATCTTAAAAGTTCTCATCACAAGAAAAAAGAATTTTGTAACTATTCCTGATGATGGATGTTAACTAGACTTATTGTGGTGATAATTTTGCAATATATACAGATATCACATCATAAAACTAATAGAATGTTATATGTCAATTATATCTCAATTTAAAAAATTAAAAAACTGATTCCATTTTCATAAAGGTAAAAAATAGGCAAAATGAAACTCTATGTTTAGAAATTTATATTTAAGAAGTAAAACTAAAGAAAAGAAAGAACGTGATTGCCGAAAAAGTCAGTTTAGTGGTTTCCTCTGCAAGGAGAGGAGGAGGCGGTCAGTGGGAAAAAGCAAGGTGGGGGTGTTTCTTGACCCTCAAGATTGTTACCCTCCTGTTTGCTTTAAAATAATTCATTAAGTTCCCCATTTGTGCTTTTTAAAAACTGTACAAGAACAGGTGCTGGCATGCGGGCCACAGTTTGTCAAGCACTGTTCTAGAACACAAAGAAAACTTCAGTAGCTTCCATAAAGTACAGTAAGAAGAAACCAGTTTGACCACAATGCTATAGAACTGGAAATTAAAAATAAAACCAAAAATAAGGACTCTTCACCTGGAAATTAAAGGTCTTGTATCAAACCACTCTTGGGTGAAAGGAGAATAAAACAATATTACTGAATTTCTGAAAATAAATTGGGGGCCAGCCCAATGGCCGAGTGGTTAAGTTTGCATGCTCCACTTGGGCAGCCTGGGGTTCGCCAGTTCGGATCCTGGGCACAGACCTAGCACCACTCATGAAGCCATGCTGTGGCAGGGGCTCACACAGAAGAACTAGAATGACTTACAACTAGGATACACAATTATGCACTGGGGCTTTGGGGAGGAAAAAAAAGAGGAAAACTGGCAACGGATGTTAGCTCAGGGACAATCTTCCTTACCAAAAAAAAAAGGTTAAGTATTTTTCACAGTCAGGAATAAAATGGCTATCACTCCCCTGTTTACAAAAGCAGTTTCCATAATCCAAATTTAGTATGATTTATTAATGATAGAGTGAAAGCCACCTCTGTATGGATGAAATTTTTAGGTTTACTAAAAACTAAAAGTAGGAAACACAAGAATAGCTAGGAAATTACTGAATATGAAGACCTGTTGGGGGAAAGGGGCACAGGAGGAACCAAACGGTACAGCGCCAGCACGAGAATAAGCATCAGATCCATGAATAGCATAAAAGCTCCATAAACAGACCCAACTACATATAAAAGTCTAGTTTATGATGAAAGTGGTACCTCAAATCACGGTGGCAAAGATGCTCTGTTTAATAGACAGCGTAGGGCCAACAGGATAGCCATGTGGAACAAGACAAAAGCAGATCCATCCCTCCCATCACACCTACGAAAAAACTCCAAAACTCTATTAAAAAGTAAATCTATACAAGTATCAGAAGAAAACGTGAGTGAATGCCTCTAAAACCATGTGACTAAAACCCTAGATGCGACAAAAGGTTGATAAATTTGACTAAGTACTAATAAAAAAACTTTTGCCTGGCAAAAAAAAAAACACATTAAAGTCGAAGACAACTGACAAACTGTGAGAAAATATTCACAGCATATGTCACAGATAAAGGGTTGAATCCCTAATTTATTGAGAATTTTTTTAATTGAGGAAAAGAGGCCTATAGAAAAATGGGCAGAGACTTGAACAAACAACTCAAAAAGAGATATAAAAATAGCCCTCAATCATATGAGAAGATGTGCAATTCCATTCATATAAAAAAAGAAATGCAAATTAAAACTACAATGAAATTCCATTTTTTGCCCATCAAATTGGCAAAATTCAAAAGCTTGACAATCAGTCTGGTGAAGCGGTGATGGGGAAACAGGCACTGCCCTCCACTGTGGGTGGATGTGAAAAGTGGTCCAGCGTCGATGGAGACTTAGAGAATACCTAACCAACTACATCTAACCCATATAACCAACACCTAACCGATTATAACCAAACCTCAACACAGAAGTCATTCTATAGTTTATCCAGAACATGCATCTCCAACAATATGGAAACATGTTTGCAGAGTTATTCAGGGTATTATTCGTTACTGTCAAGCATAGGAGACTGACTGATAAACCGTGCTCCAGACGCGCAATGGTCCCCATGCAGATGTGGGGCAGAATCAGGAGGAGCTCCGTGTACTGATAGGGACCCATTCCTCTCAGGTATCATTAACGAAAAAAGCAAACGGCAAAAACCCACATAGTATGCTACCTTTTGTGTGCAAAATAAGGGGAACATTTTTTTAAATACATCTAATGGTTTGTCATTACAAACAGGAACACAGGGAGCACAACCCAGAAAACAGTGAACGTTGCCTACAAGGGGGTGGGGAGATTGGACAGAAGGAACAGGAAGCAGTGACACATCTCTGATTGTACCTTCCGGGTAGTTTGACTTTTAAAAGCATGTTAATATTCTACATATTCCAAAAATAAAATTAAATCAATAAGAATAAGAAGGAGGTACTAAAACCAAAAGCGAACTGGAGCCCACACGGACCTACCTGCATTTCTGACGTACACCACAGCCACCCTCCAGCGAGGGGGGGGGGGGGCAGTTCATCGACGTAATTTATAAACACAGCGTGTGACTGTGTCCCCGGCGGAGGGCGAGGGGACTGCAAACAAACCCCAGACTCTTCTTAGGAGGTTGTTCCTGCAACGGCACGTGCGCGGCCGCTCTGAAACTCCAGATGTGCTGAGGGGTTGAACAGCTGAGTGAACAGAATGTGCTGGTGTTGTTGGAGTTGGAAGCCAGAGTTTTCACTGTGGAAGGACACACAAATATGAAATGATGGAAGGTATTTTGGGGAGTGGCCTGGAACTGGAGGTATGGCTGTGAACCCAAGATTTCTAGAACGTATATATATGTGTATGACTGTTTCTGTGCACACATACATGCATGTGTGTGCATACGCATGTGTATATTGTATGCAGGCGTATGCATATGTGTATATATATGCTCTCTTTATTGAAAGGGCCACAAAGCAAAGACCAGAGTAGCAACGAGGACACCGAGCACCCAGGCCTTGATCCCCACTCGAAGGAACCAAGGCTTGTAGGAGAAATGGCTGATCCTAGGCCTGGGACAGCTTAGTCCCTCTGCAGATGGGCTGCTTGTGACATCTGATGCTTGTTCCCCTCTTCTCTTCAAGCCTGTGAAGCCAGCCACGCTTTGTTCCACCCCCTACTGACATGACTCTCAGTCAATCTTCCCAGGCTGCCATGAAGCTCATGATGATCCTCAGCACCTTACACAACTTCCGCCAATGCCAAATTGTCGCTTATTTTTAACCTGCTTTCCTGCAAACCTTTCTTTAAAAGCCATATAAAGCTTGGATTTTAATTTGCATCATAGTAAGTTTCCCTTATTTCCAATTGATTCCACATTTCTACTCCCATACATTTTGCCTGACATTATGTGTCTAAAAGTTTCACCAGAGCACAAAGGTCAGAAAGATTGGCCACAGCGAATTAAACAGCATACGTTGCAGAAGGCATTCAGTATGACATGGTAAAAAAAACAAAAGAAGAAAAAAATCATTGGCTGGGAGGCTTTGCAGTGTGTCTGTGCTAAAGCTTGCTGCCCGAGAATGTACCCAACAGGGTCACAGGCTGCCGGTACCAGTGTCCTCAGAGGGTGGGGGCAAATCCACGGGACAAGTCGCATCATCATAAATTGGCTCTTTATCATTTTTCAGGTATCCACCTAGAATTATTATTGCCAGTCGCACTCGGCTGGTGACCACAGCTTATGTCAGCAGCCATGACGCCGTGTCCCAGCTGCGGGACAGCCCACCTGAGGGACAGCAGAGGAGGCAGAAGAGACCCTCACTCCCAGAGCTGCCGCTGCCGGAAACAGGCCTTCCCGTGCCTGGGCGTGGTCTGGGCTCCATCCACAGGAGCAGTCTTCTGGGAAGCAGGGCCAGCCCAGTCACCAACCGGACAGGCCAGGCTGGTGAGGGCGGAAAACGTCATCTGAAAGCCGTCCTTCCCAGGGCTTCAGAAAAGGCGAGACTGCCCACCGACGGCCCAAGAAAGACCTGTGTGTCCTGCAGCCTCGAGCTCTGCTTTGCAGGCCTGAGCTCACCACTGTCTGGCAGGCGTCTCTTGCTTCTGAGGCGCCCCTAAAGCACTTTCGCTCTCTGTAGGCGCTTTGACGGCAGCTTCTGCGGGTGGATTCTGGCCCACAGGAGAGGCTCAGATGACCGAGTTAGAATTTGAGGCTCATCCAGTGTTAATCTTAGTTGTGTGCACAGTATCACCCCCAGTTTTAATGTTTGCTCAATACTCTTTTCTCTGGATGAAAAGAGAAGGGAGACTCACACATCCTGGAGGAAACATAGGTTTTCTTCTTTTGTCTATCCCTGAACGGCCAAGGACAGTGCTTTCAAGTGGCTTATGGAAAGGATTGAGAGTCGAGGGTAAAGAAGACAGAGAGAAGCTGCTTCCGTTGTCAGCCTCTGAAGTCCATGAACAGTGAAAGTTCAGCTGAGGTCTACAAAAATATTAGCAATGCCAAAAGGCCGGCAGCCAGGATGTGTCTTTGTGCAGGAACTGAATGGCTACCCCAGCTGGAAAAGTTTAAAAACCCTGGCAGGGGTGGAACAGTCCTATAAAAAAGACAGTGAGAAAGAAGTGTTTCTGAAATAATTAGATTTATGAACCTGTAAAAGAACGTTCTCCACAGACTCTAAGCCTGTAAGCATGGGCGTGACGGAAATGCAAGGATTTGGAGATATTTATCTAATTTTTAAAGATGCTATTAGTAACAGTGGTTGAAATGAATCTGATGAAACATGAAATTTTTTAGTACAAGGAAGTAATATGCATAATTATTAGTCAAAATTTGTTTGCAACAGGCAACTACTTAAAATTCTAAGATGATTCCAAGTTATTCAAAATGTTAATCACATGACATCTTATCAAGATGGAGATTTTAACTCAGTAGTAACTTTAATTAATTACATTAATAAAATCATGGTTGGCCTTTCTTAATTATTTTATGCTTCTGAATATTTAAATTATAAATATATCTGATTCATCTTTTTAAAAAAGATATTAGTCAACACAGTAAAAAATTTAGGCTGTATAAAATGAATTGAAACCAATGCCAAAAGTTGAAGGTGCTCTTTATAAAGTGAAATGTGCATTTTTAAGACAAAATATAAGTGACAAAAATACGATTAATGCAAATATTTGGGATTTTATTTACTAATCAAATTATAAAACACGTAAATGTTTCAAAAATGCTTGGTCAATAATAATTTCCTTTTTTACAAGTAGAATCCGTAGTTTTAGTTTAGCTTTATCAGAAATAAATTTATTGCTTTTATTTCTGTAAGGACAACTTTTCTGTTCAATCAAGTATCTTAATAGATATTTGGCTGTAATGACAGAAAAGAAACGGTAGAGGGCACTTTAGTTCTCTAACAAAATAAAACCATTCCTAAAACCGTCTATAAATCAGGAAAGCAGACAACGGGGAGACCTGAGCTATCTGGTCAAGGTTAGACAATAATGTGACACGAGTTTCCCTGCTCCCCACAGCCTAACGGGGACGTCTCAGGCAAACAGAGTCATTCCGTAAATCAACCGGCAACGTGAAAAACAAGTGTTCTCAGACCTGCAGATCTGTGGACCCATCATTTCAAGAGTATTTCATTTAAAAAGTACCACATCTATTTGGAAATTGCCTGATCTACTGATCGGTAAACTCTCACTGTCTAGAAGTTTTAAGAGGGAGAGTGAGTGCTTTAAACAGGTCGACGATGCACTGGGGCGTACCTCTCTTGTCTTGGTCCGATTCCCACTAGGAGCCTATGACCTCAGACTTGTTACTTAATCACAATTTCCTCCCGAATCGTCTTTGTAATCATCGTCGTCATCACCTCAAGGAAGACGCCTGCTTTCAAGCAGCTTCCACTCTGTTCTAGCTGAAATAAGGTCAGTATAAGAAACAGCTCCCAGGAGGGAAAGACAACGCACAGTTAAATGTAAATTGTGTTGTTCAGCGTGTACACAATTCCTGGGCTGCTCGTTCTGATTGCCTGGCCTCGGTTTTACATTTTATACTGAGGTTCTGTACTGGATGATGTGGCTGGATGAAGCTCTGTCATCCATTCCTGTTTTGTATGTTGTTCTATCAAATTTGGTGATCTAGTACCCAAGCTCTCAACAGGTTTACCGCGGTTCTTAACATCTTGGAGTGTAAAGACCCACTTGAAATCTGAAGAAGACGTGGAGCTCCTCTCCCCAAAACGCTCTACAAGACAGCTCACTCGAAATGAGCAAGGTTAACCCCAGGAGGTTCAGGACCCTGAGCTCTGCCACAGGCCCCCTGGTGACCCACAGACACGACGCCAGGAGTCTCCGACAGAGGCGCACGCCACACGGCTCCCACGGGTTCCAGAGTCATTTCCGGAAAGTTCACGTGTTGCGGTGGGGTTAAGATGGCGATGAGGCTGGAGAGGGAGGTGTGCCATGCCAAGCAATTTTGGAGTTTTTTCCATAAGCAACAGGAAGTGTACTGAAGTGTTTAAGCACAGAAGTGAACGATCTGCATTTCAAACAGCAAAACCAGAGAGTAGAATGCAAAATAAACAGGAGAGGAAAGACAGGAAGCAGAGAGATCCTCACTCAGTCTGCCAGCACCATAATCTGGGCGAGGCACAGGGAGAGCCTGTTTAAAATCTTTCCAAAACTCCGGATGCTCCCTTTTCTAAGACAGGCCTACGCTGATTCCGTGTAATAAGTAATGGGACAGAAGTTTCCAAACACCAAGGGACATTTGGAACTAGACAAAGGATGTTCTGCAGTTCCCTCGTCTTGTCCTCAGGGCGGCAGAGGGCACTAGCATGCCTGCCTGGTGGACAGCTTCAGACGCCTGGGCAGCCTGGGAGCCTCCAGGAGGCCAGGCGTGGGCCTCCCGAACACGCAAACCTGGAGGCCTTCGCTCAGCACCCACGGCTTCAGGGAGAAGCGTCTGTCCTCTCACCGTATCCCTCAGGGCGGACAGGATGGGCCACTCAAGATGTTATTGGAGGCTGGACCGTGAGGAAATACCTCTGCATTCTCTAGAAGCCAAAAACAACAAGCAAGCAGAATTTCTGGTGAGGGAGATTTCTCACAGAACTGTGGTGAAAATTTAATGAAAACAAGCTTTGGGGCCAGCCCTGTGGCCAGGTGGTTAAGTTCACATGCTCCACTTCGGCGGCCCAGGGTTTCACTGGTTCGGATCCTGGGCGCCGACACAGCACCGCTCATCAGGTCATGCTGAGGCGGCATCCCACATAGCACAGCAGAGGCACTCACAACTAGAATATACAACTGTACTGGGGGACTTCGGGGAGAAGAAGAAAAAAAAACATTGGCAACAGTTGTTAGCTCAGGTGCCAATCTTTAAAAAAATTTAAAAAACAACCCAATCTGTATGTATGTGTCACTGGTCTTCCAGGAAATTTGCACATGGATCCTGATATTGTCACATATTGCCACATCCCATTTGTTTGCTACAAGAAAGGGAAGATCATTAATGACATGCTGAGCATCAGCTGCAGAGATGTTCTCACTCTTACAGAAGGGAGTTTGGCCAATGGCCCCCAAGAATAGGGCCAGAAATAAGAATTGGAGAAAAGGGATTAGATTCAAGCATTAGTTTGTTGATTCTACTCAGAACTTGGCATTTACTAAGATGTGGAAAGTGAAACCAACAGTTCCAGACCTCCTGTTGAACTAAACCCACCGCCCCACAGGAGGCTCTGACCATCTGGCCCAACCCACCTCCAGCCACATGCCCCCACTGCCCCCTCACAGGCTGTGCTCAGCGACTGAACCGCCACACCCCGACGCCGCTGTCCCCTTGGCCTGGAAGGCCCTCTGATGCCTCTCCATCAGACGAAGTCCTCTCCATCCCCAGGCCCAGTCCCAGAGCCACCTGCTCTGTTAGGCCCTTGTGAATGCTCCTGCCCACTTGCTGCAAAAACCAATGACTCGCCCCTCTCCGGGCCGCCTAGGACTGCCTTCACGTGTGTAATGCTCATCAAAGCATCATCCACACCCATCTTCCCATTGCATTTTGGAAGGAGCCTGGTCTAATTCCTTTTGTTTCCCAAGCCACTAGCATGGTGTGGGCACAAAATAGGAAATAGATCAGTATTTGTTGAAGAAAGACAGGGAGGGAGAGAAAGAAATTCCAGTCAAGAGGCTGTTAGAGTCATCCAGACAGAAGGTCTCATAGGAGCCTAAACATGGAAAGTGGTGCTGGGAACAGAAATTCACGATTATGAAAATAGAAGAGATTAGATTAGACTGGTGATTAAATGCAGGGAATGAGAGAGAAATGGGACTTAACGGGTGATTCCAACCAAGTTTTCTGGCCCAAGAGACTGAGAGAACATAAACAGAGGGTACTGACCCTGTGGGAGGCGGGCAGCAGGTGAAGTCCTGCTTCAGACTTCTCCCTCCACGCTCGGGCCGCCCCACGTGAGAGGTTAGCAGGTGGTTGTGTGTTCACAGTGAAGGATCTGATGAGAGGCCACGTGCAGCATCCGGGAAGACTCAGGAGCCAAGGAAGGAGAGCAATTCCGAGAGCGGGACGCCCCAGAGACAGGCTGTTGAGGCTAAGCCGGAGGAGGACTATGGGGCCACAGCCATCGCAGCCTCAGAAAGAGCAGCCCTACTGGGGCTGGAGGGTCCCTGGAGTCGTTGGGAGAGGGCGGAACCTCGAGTGTGACGGCGCTCAGAAACGTGAGTCGTAACAGGGACCAGGGGCCTCCACACCTTCTGTGGGTGATTTCTGCTCCCGACCCAAATTGTTTTTTAATTGAATGTTGAGTTAATCAGGTTTCATTAAAGTTTCCACTGCCTACAGCTACTAAGATAATTTTTGTTTTTTTAATTTAAGAAGTTAAAAATAGAATCTCTGGATAGGCCTGGAGTTGGGATGGGAAAGTAGTTTGGTGACTCATTTACACTCTCTTCTAAAGTGTACCATCAAATTCTAAATATGAATCAACTCACTTTTGTTTTTTTCCAAAAAGATGAACCCGAAAGACCTTAAATAGTCCCTTCCACCAAAAGAAACAAAGGCTTGCATTAAATCCAGCTGGAATTGTGTGCTCAGCTGATCCAAGGCTGAGCCTGGAACGGGTCGGGTTTAACGTGAGTCCCCCCCCGGAAGCCTGGGTGGGCTCCTGTCCCCCGGTTGCCAGGTGGAATCGTTCAGAGCAGCAGGAGGAGAGCTGAAATGTCTGCCTTCCTCGCACTGAGTGCGTTTTACCCCCGTCCTCGATTGAGCCCAAGACGACGA